CCCCTGGCCCCCCACCTCCGCGGCCGTGGCCAGCGGCGTGAAGCCGTGGCCGTCCTCCTGCTGCTTGAGCGCCTCGTCGTGCTGCAGCAGCGCCAGCACGCACGACTCAAGACCCAGGCGCACTGCTAGGTGTATCGCGCCCCAGCCGCTGCCGCAGGTTCTGGGCGGGGGCGTTGAGGTGTTTGCAGTGGAGAGAGAGGGCCTCGGCAAGCCCGTTCAAAGTGGCATCGCCAACACAACCCTGCAGCGCGAGTGCTGCGGCCGTCCGGTCGAGGGGCCGGCTGCAGGGCACGCAGGCGCCCTCTGCTGCTTGGTGGAAGCCCAACCGCAACTCCACCACCCCATGCGCGTTTGCCCCGCAGGCCAGGCGCCTGCGCAGGGCGCGCTCCGTCCCCTCCGGCCGACCGATCTAGAAGCAGGCGCGGCGCACCTCCGGGGGTCTGCGCCCTTCCCCAGGAGCCACTTGATCATGCTGGGGCAATTGCTCTCGATCGCGGCCAGCAGCGCCGTCCGGCCGCCCTTGCAGGCCGCGTTGATGCTCGCGCCGCGCGCCAGCAGCAGGTCACAGGCCTCCTGGGCCAGCTGCCCAGAGCGCGCGGCGGCGATGTGGCTGCGCGCAGGGGGGCGGCATACGGTGGTTGCAGAGGCGGAGGCGTCCACGACCGGAGTGAGCGGGGAGGCAGGGACGGCGCATGCTGCCGCAGCCCCCGCGCCTGCCATGGCTGCTGCCCAATATTGCTGCAAAAAGGCAGACATGGCCCTGCTTGCCCTGCATCCTCCTGTAACTGTCCCGTGATACCCACACCCAGGTAGCAAGGGACATGCAGGCGCCGTCGCTTGCAAACCGCATGCAGCAGGGCTGCGACTACAGCGCCGTAACCCTTGCAACCACGACAGCTCCGCCGCGCGCGGCCGTGCCACGCCGCACGGGCGCAAGGCTGCAACCGGCACCCCCAGCTAGCAACCACCCACATGGGCAGGCGGCCGTCCGGCTCCATGGGCTCCTCCACCGCGGCGCCGTGGTCCAGCAGGAGCCCCATGGTGGGCAGGTCCAGGTTCTTCGTCGCCACGTGGACGGGCGCCTGGCCGTAGCCGTCGCGCGCGTTGACGTGCGACCCAGCCCCTGTGCGCGCGGGGCGCGGGCGCGTGGTGGGTCCTCCTTGCAACGATGCCCGTTTCCCGCACACTCCGGGCCTCCCTGGCTCAGGGCTGCTGGTGCATGCCGCACGCGCCCCTCCTCAAGGACCGCCGTCGCGTGGCTCGGGCCTGACTGCCTCAGAACCGCTGTTGCATGGCTGAGGCCTCCCTGCCTCAGAGCTGCTGCTGCATGGCTCAGGCCTGACCAAGAATCGCTGCGCATGGCTCGGCTGCGACACAGGCTCCACCACGCGCGCGCACCAGCGTATCGCCAGGCCCGTACAACCAGCAGCTCACCCAGCAGCAGCTTGATCGTGAGCTGGTAGTCGTAGTCGCGGTTCAGCCAGCGGTTCTCCGCCATCTCCACCGCGATGTGCAGCGCGGTCTGCGCCTTGGACGTCGCAGCGTTGACCTGCGGCGCGGTGGCGGTGGCAGGAGGTATCGAGGAAGATGGACAGGCACAGGGCGCACATGATTCCTCCTGCTTCCCATGCACACAGCGCCTGGCCGTTCGCGGCACCGCACGCTGGGGGGGGCTTGGCACTGTCGCACTGTACGGGCCGGGGCGGCCCGCTCGGAATTTGGTGGCCGCAGCGCAGGGCCTCACCAGCGCGTTGTGTGAGAGCAGGAGGCCCGTTATGTCGGCCGCGCCGTAGTAGGCCGCCACGTGCAGCGGCAGCCAGCCGTCGACGTCAGGGGAGTTGACCTTGGCGCCAGACTCCAGCAGGGCCTGGGGGTGATGTGTGTGTGTGTGTGTGTGTGTGTGTGTTCCTGCAGGGCCTCGCATTGCAGGGTCGCAAGCGCAAACAGGGCAGGCGGCCTTCGCCACTGCACACGGGAGCAAAGCGCGCCCTGCAGCAGCCGCGAGCCCGCGGCTCTCGCCGCCGCGGCGGCCGCCACCGCCGCGGCCGCCGCCTCAGTCCGTGTCGCCAACCCCTCACCTCAACCACGTCCCCGTGGCCTTCGTTCACCGCGATGTGCCTGCGGATGCGGCGAGGGCGGGTGCACGCGTGGCAGGCGCGGGCGTTTGACCAGTGCTGGCGAGGCCCGCTCTGCGGCACGCAATCGCGCTTCCCCATTCGGCTCGCCTGCCGCAGTGAGAGGTGCAGTTGCGCCTAACTGCAAGCTCCCCAGAGCAGCTGCTATGTCTCAGCCCCTCGGCAGCCATTGCATGGCGCGGGGGCAGTGCAAGAGTCCGAGTGACGCCCCAGAGAATGATGTGAGTCCCACTCCCCCAAGGCTCACAGCGGGGTGCGGCTATCCTCCTCCCGCGGCATGTTCAGGTCGGCGCCGCTGGTGCTGAGGATCGCCACTGCCTCTGCCAGACCTTGGTCTGCTGCCAGGTGTCTGCGGGGGGCGCGGCGGCGCCAGGATGGGCACCAGGGGCACGTGCGTCAAGTGATGGAAGGGGGGCCGGCATGCGTGCATGCAGGGCGCTGTGCCATGCTCGGAGTGGCTGCGCACAGGAGAATGCGCCGGGAAAGCGGCTGCTCTCTGGAGGGCCCGGCATCGCCGGGCGGGGCCATTGGGCACGGGCCACTTCTGGTGTCGTCACAACCCTGGGAGCCTGGCGGCCCCCCACTACCGCCTGCTCCTCTACCCCGGTTTCCACCCCTTCCTGAACTGGTGCATCACTCACAGGGCTGTCTGACCCTCATCGTCGTACTCGTCCAATCCATCGAATCCGTGGCTGCTGCTGCGCGCGACCTCCGCCAGGCACTCGATGTCACCTGCGCAGATCACATGCGCGCACACACCGGTCAGGCGCCAGTCAGCAGGCGCGGTTGCGCAATCGGCAGCCGGCCATTACAAGTGTACGCAACATGGCGAAATGTTGCACCTGGGCACTGCCACAAGCGCTTGCCAGTGCCAGGTCTTGTGCAGCGCAGCGGAGCGCGCCGCCGCGCCAGTGGCAGTGGCGGGGCGCGGCCCTCCGCGAGCGCTGCCAGCTCTTTCAAATCGTCGTTTTAGCTCTCAGGAACGCATTCGGCAAGCTGCTGGGCACACGAAGGGTGATGAGAGGCCTGGTGGGGCCCACACCTTCGTTGATCGCCTCGTGCAGCTTGAATCGCCCTGAGGATCTCCGAAAGACGCTGCACATGCCTGTACCTTTCAGCCGCTGCGTCGTGGCAGGGAAACGACGTCTATGGACCTCAGTACCTGAGCTGGAGTGGGTGTGTGCCGCTGAAGAGCAGCGTGCAGCATGTAGCAGAAAATGAGCAATGATGCGAGCCCCACGTGTGGGGATGCTGCCTTGCATGTACGTATCGACCGACAGAGGCCTACACACCGGGTGTGTTCAGCACTAAAATCATGAAAGGGCCGCCTATGCCATATGTCTGAGCCTAACGGCTCCTTTTATATTTTGATTCAATTGAAACTTATCCCTTTCACGTGAAGACGCTTGCTGGCAAGCTTTGACAGTGTTGAACCCAGTTCCCGGGACAGGATGAAGAGCTTACGTGAGTCCTTGTGGGGTTTCATGATACGCTACGGATTTCCATGAAGCTCTTGTGACCGGGGGAGCGCCTGGAGGCCCGCATGACGCGAGCACGACGGGCCAAGCAACCGCAACCCGCCTCGCTGGCGCAACGCCCCGCCTGTCGCGCAGACCGCACTCCCCGAACGACCTGTGCCAGCACCACCCAAGCAGCGGCGCAACGTGCGCTTGGTGCGCCCAATTGCACACCGGCTGTGCGGGTGAAAGCAGCACCGGTGTGGCGGGACGCGGTCTCGCTGCCGCGCAGGCCGCAGCAGGCCGCTTGCGACCGGAACGCCCTGCGGCCGATGATGAGCTACGACATTCTCTGCTGTGTGGTGGGTGCATTCTGCAGGCCATGTGCTTGTAAAATAGGTCGATTCATGGGTCTAGCAAGCACGCAGTGACCCACGCCGTTGGTCGTCGTGGTTGCCGGCTTGCAGTGCGCCCCAGCCTGCTGACCGACGGCCTGCGCATAGGCCTGTGCAAAGGCATGTCGAAACCCAAAGTTCCTCTCCTGCAGAACATCGGCAGAACAACAGTTTTGGATATGAGCGCATGCACACACTCACAGACATGAGTGCAACATGCATATTCTTGGGGAAGCTCCTACTATCGACCGACACCAGCTCATGCATTTCAACACGTCTCATCCTCTGGGTCCCGCATCGTCCCATGCCTAAAAATTCATCCCCCTCTAAACCCTCTTGCAGACCTACAGTGAAGAGGACACACTGTCCCCAGGCGACGCAGCTGCAGCAGCTGCCCACCCAGAGCTGTTTTGTGCGGACGACATCCTCTGCTGCTGCGCCTATTCCGACGACGAGCCCGAAAGCTGAGATAAACTGCTGGTGGCTGTGGTGCCGTGCAGGCACCACGCGATGCCGCCTGCAGCTGACTGCTGATTCCACCAACTGCCAGCCAGCCGTTGACTACATTTCAGTAGTTAGGCAGCCTTCATCGCGCGCTGGTGCTTGACTGTATAATATGACGCGCCCGTTCCCTCTCGACGATGGCTTGGGCGACCCAGCAGCTGTGCGCGCACACGCAGCACGCATGTGCGCGGGACTTTGATTACTGGTATGTGTGGGAGCTTGGGCAGACCAAGACCCATCATATGGCGTCATGCAGCAGAGGGCAGGAGCCCCACGCGCTCTGCTTCTTCATCTTGAGGCCCACCCATTTATGAAACGACAGCTCGACCGACCCGGGGTTTTCATTGATTAGCAGGCACATGGGCGGTCAAGTTATGGCAGCTTAACGTTGCATGCATCGCGATACGCAGGGGCGCATAACACGACTGCTTGCGCCGGGCATTCACCCACCCCCACGGGCCAGCAGATAGGCAAGGAGTGCGTCATTTCACCCCTCACCCCTGTACAAACCCGTACCTGTCCACTACACACGTGGAAGCAAGCCTTCCGCAATCACTTTACGTACTGCTTCTGCGGGCCTGTCATTTTGGCTTTTCTGTGTGCGACTGGGAAACTGTTACTCACTCTAGACTTTTGCTGCCCGTGATAGATTTCATTACTGTGATGACCATGCGATGACTCAAGGGATGAGTTATCTGATAACAGCATCACTGAAAGCAGGGAGGTAACCCCCTTCTTGAAAGCCAGCTTTAGCGCAGGACGTTGTGCCCTGCATCAGGGCGCATGTGTCGTTTCCAGCCGTCGCTCGACCGTGGCGGGAGCGCAGGCGTGCCGTCTGCAGGTGATTGATAACCAGAGCTGCTGAAGCCACCTGACTCTACCGTACATTACCTTAGCACGCATTCTTGCACGGTGATCGCTGCTTAACCACACTTACATAAGGGACAAATTTCCCAAAAAACGTGATCTTGACGGAGCATCGCCATGAGCAGCTGACACGAAGATGTTCTGGTCGCCCAGCAAGCAGCGCGCATCCTCTGCAGCTGTCCACAACGCTCGCTCTAGCTCCCCGCTATGGCCGTTTTGCGGACAGCTGCCGCCCGACATCGCAGCAGACATCGCTGCTCGTGTGGGCGCGCACGCCGTGCCAGGCATGCTCCACCAGCTGCGTACAGTCTCCAAGGCGACCTGCGCCGCGCTTGATGCCCGCACCCGCAGCCTTCGCATGCGCTCTCGTGGCGCAGCTGCGGTCGACCGCTTCGCTGCGCCGGGGCGCTTCTCTGCATTGACAGAGCTGGCGTTCGAGGGCCGCGACGTGGGCGCGTTCCGTGGCTTGGCGCGCGCGCTGCCGGCGCTGGGCGGACGCCTGGTGCGTCTTGAGGTAGAGCCGTACACGACGACAGACCTGGACGCCGTCAAGGCAGTGGTCGCCAGCCTGAGGGCGTTGACCGGCTTGACACACCTGCGCTTTGGCCTCGAGCATGCGGCAAACTGGGGCAGGAGGGTGCCGGACCTGACGTGGCAGCAAGGCATCTTCGCCGCCGCTGCGTGGATGTCGCGGCTGGAGGCGCTGTTGCTCATGGATGTGGCGCTCGGCAAGGCGGCCGCGCTGGCCGTTTATCAACTGATGTCTGGAGTCTGTTGGCCGAGGCTGCGGGTGGGCTCCAAGCCCCTGTAGAGGCTCGCGCTTTTGCCGCTTGCGTGCCTCCACGCCTGCAACCTCCTGCAAGCACTCAAGCTTGGCGCTCGGCACAGCACTCTCTGGGAGGTCTGGCAGCAGCCAAGATCACACATCACTCTCAGCTTATCACCCCTGTTTACCCAACAACCCCTGCAGGAGCTCGAGCTGCGCTGCCTGACCTCCCCCGGCATCGAGACCCTTGCGGCTGCTGCGCACCTGACGGCGCTGACGGCCGTCCGCTTGTCGTGCTACACGCCTGAGGGCTTGAGGCTGCCGGGCGTGGTGGAGCAGACCGTCGGCAACAACGCGCCGCCTCGCACGGTGCTGCGGATCATCGAATCAAAGTGCAATTGGCTTGGGCCCACGCTGCGCACCCTCGCCATTTACGGGTGCCACCGCGTCTGTGACAAGAATGCAGCATTGTCATCATTCACCCGCCCAGCTCGCGCCCACTTGCTTGCCGGCTTGGAGGAGCTGGCACTGTGCGACTGCGACATGCGGGCGGCCGACGCCGCCGTTCTTGCCAAGCTTTCGCTGCCGTCGCTGCGGCGGCTGAGCCTCAGCGGCAACCCGGACCTGGGAGATCGAGGGCTCCCCACATTGTGCGAGGCACCATGGCTGTCACATGTGGAAGATCTCGACCTGTTCGACTCGAAAGCCAGCCATGCCGCCGCGGTGGCGCTGGCTCGCACCCCGCTGACCGCGCTCCGCGCTCTGGACCTTGGGGATTGCTCCATCCCTGAAGCTGGTTTCCTGGCGCTCGTGCGTGCCCCATGGTTGTCACAGCTGACGGCGCTCACCTTTTGGGGGAATTTTGTGATCGGGCCTGATGCTTGGGTGGTTTTCATGTCTGCGCGGCTGCGGGCGCTGCGGGTTTTGGCTGTTGACCTGTCCCCCCTCTACTTTTTGCAATCCGGCGAGGCCCTGGCCGGTGCCCCATGGCTTCGCAATCTGGAGCGCCTGTGGTTCAAGAGGCCACTGGACTGCATTACACAGGCGCTGTCTGACGGCGCCTTTGCAGGGTTTGTGGTGCTGCGCAGCTCCCCAGTGTTTCAGGCCCTGGAAAAGGAGGGGCGCGTACAAGTCGATCTCGATGATGATGGAGATGATGGTGATGGTGATGGTGATGGTGATGATGATGCTGATGCAGATGATGCATGACACATCACATATAAAATAGTCCGTATGTTTTCTTACTGACCCTGGCTGTGGCCCAACGCTTTGTGGTGTAATTGTATGTGACTCGACACATCCCAACTGCAGTTCATGATCGTCGTACTGTATGTGAGTGTGTGTGCTGACAGGTGGTGGAGCCATACGCAGGGCCGCGCGTGGAACCATACGTTGATGATCAGCAATGGGAGGCATGCTTTGCCTGCGAGAGTTTCGTTTGCATGTGTCGGTCAGTGGGCAGTGTCACCGGGTGCCTGCTGCACGTCCTGGTCCTGGGATTGTGTGCGCGGAGCTGCCACTCACAGTCGGGGGAGGACCAGACGTGCACGCTTTACAACCTTCAGAATAATTGAAACATCATATGCGCCATATCTTTCAGATCTCCTGCGCTGCGTGCCGATCCGTTGTTGGTTTGAATATTTTGCTTTCCCGTCACATCCAGCGCTTCGCACACACGCATGAACCTGTAACTCAAGCCCAGAGTTGACGGACAGCGGCGCGTTGTCGCCGCAGCCGCAATGCGAATGGCGCACCTGATGGCCGGCGATGCAGCCAACCCTCTGCACGGGGCACCAGATCCCGCCATCCTGCAGGGCGTCCTCGACAGGATCAGCTGCCATCCCTTGTCGCGAGGCACGGCCGCAGACGGCGCGCTGGTACGGGGCGTGCTGCGCAGCGCGCTGAGGCGACTAGCTGCAGGCCACCCGGCCCTCCTCTCGGACGCATCAGAGCTGGAGCCGCTGCGGCCGCCCGCACCGCCGCTGGGAACGGCCGAGAAGCTGCAGCACCCCGCGGCGCTTGTCAGGTGCGCTAGGACGGCTCGCTTTCACGGCTGTTGTTGACCTGCTGCGCTTGCACAAATATGACCCGCATTCTCGACATGCGTGCACTAAAGACTCGAGCCACTGCATCCACATGTCAGGGCGCTCTTGGATCTGGTGCCAGCAGCAGCCGCGAGCCACGCGCACGCAGCGGGCGCAGAGGCCCCAAGGCCAGCTGCTGCTTGCCCTAGCAGCTTACCGGCAGCTACCACATGGCCGTCGCCGCCGCCGCCACCCCCGCGGGTCGAACCACCCCGGCAGACGCCGCCGGCCCCCCTGCGGCCCCCAGAGCCGCCCCAGCCTGCCCCCCTTGGGCCGGCGCTGCTTGCCGCACGCGCAAAGCGTGTCGCATGGCTGCAGCGGCGCATCAGGCGGGGCGTCGCCAGCCAGCGGATGGTCAATGCAGCGGCGCCCAACGCTGAGCTGGCAGCTGCGGGCAAGGTCGCCTCATGGTGGGCCATTTGGTGCATGGGCGCTTTGGGGGAGCTGTGGACACATGCATGGTCCAGCCGGGCGCCATGCGTCGCCCTCGCCCTGCTCCGTAGCGAGGCTGGCAGCGCATGCACCATGGGATCATGCATGGGGTGGCAGCACCATGCATGTCGCTGCTATGCGGCCTGCATGGCACTGATGAGATCACCCCGAAACGCATGCAATGCCCATGGCAATGACCTCAACCTGTGCCCTCCCTGCACGCTGGCCTTGACTTTGCAGCACGACCACAATGCCGCATCCACTTCGGGACTGCGCGGCCGACGTGACAGCCGCCTCCGCCGCCCTCGCTCGTCGCGTCGCCGTCGTTCCCCGCCGCACGGCCGCGCGCGCCGCGGCCGTGGCCGAGTGGCACGCGGCCGCGGAGGCGGAGGCGCGGCGGCGGCGCGAGGAGGCGCGGCGGCAGCGGCTGGCGGCGCTGCGCAGCAGTGACATGGACGCTTACAAGGCCATGCTGTCGGAAGCCAGGAACGGCCAGCTCAGCCAGGTAGGTTGCATGACATCATGCATATGTCATCCATGCAACGTGTCGGGGCGGGCAGGGGCGTCTTCTCAAGCAGAGCACCTTGCGTTCAGCTGCGCCAGAGGCAGATGACTCACTACAGGGATGTGCCTTTCGCATGCCAGGAAGTAATGAACCCACCCTCTTGCATTCCCTGCAGGTTCTGGCAGAAACAGACAAGTGCCTGCAGACCCTCACCCGCCGCCTCAACGCGTCGTCTGCTGCCACCAAGGGCCGTGGCGCCGGAGCTAAAGGTGAGCAGGAGGTTTGCCCAGGGGACAGAGATTTGCGCACGTTTGTGTATCCCGACTCAGCAACCCTCTGGCGTCATTACCTGGGCGCACTGGCTTGCAGGCGCCAGCACGGCGTTAGCAGCGGCTGCTGCCGTAGCCCACAATGGCGATGCGGACGACGCGTCGGGCGCTTGGGGCCAGCTGGCGGCGCGGCTTGTGGCGGACATCGAGCGGCAGCCTGCGATGCTGGTTGGCGGCGAGCTGAGGGACTACCAAATGCAGGTGCAGGGTGGGCGACATCGATTTCCTGGTTGGCATGATTGAGAAGGATGGGCAGGCGGGTGGCCTCAAAGGGCCTGGTTGTGAGGACCCTGGGACGACTGTTGAACCGATGCCCGCTCACACGCCTGTTGCATGCCGTGTGTATTATGCAGGGCCTGCGTTGGATGGTGGGCCTGGCCGACAACGGGCTCAACGGCATCCTGGCTGATGACATGGGCCTGGGCAAGACGGTGCAGGTGGGCTTGGGAGCCACATGCGCGGTCGCGATGTCGTGCAACAGCAGTGAATGTTCGCAGTGTGCGCGTGTGTCGAAGGGCACGGCCAAACCGCAATGACACTTGACCAGATTCAGGGGTCACGGCAATGAGGCAATGGGCCTTTCAGGGCGGCAGCTGGATTGTTGCCCACTCCAGCATCTAAAAATAACAACACCGAGCTGCATCACTCAGCCGCACGGGCCGTACTCAGTCACTCTGCGTGCGACCCATCTCTCCACGCCCATGCACGCCCGCCACAATCCGTGCAGGTCATAGCGATGATCTGCCACCTCATTGAGTCCCGCGGCGAGGGCCAGCCCTTCCTCATCGCCGCGCCGGCCTCGGTGCTGCCAAACTGGGCCTCGGAGCTCGCGCGGTGGGCGCCGGGGCTGAAGGTCGTGGCGTACAAGGGCAGCGCGGCAGAGAGGGAGGCTACTTATTACAACCAGGTCGGCAGGTGCATGCGTGGCAATTGGAAGCCTGTTGTTCTGCGAAGTTCTGACCGTACGTAGGTTCCCTATCCTTGGACCATTGTGGTAGCTGGGATGTTTCACCACCAGGCAACCCCAATGCCGACTTGTCATCTTTGGCGCGCTGATGTGGGTGCATCCCGAGCATGAGGGGGCTTTGCAGTCATCCCCGCCCCGCCTGCCAAACTTCCGGGCTGTCTGCAGGTCCTGCGTGGCCCCAAGTTCCACGTCCTTTTGACATCATACGACTTCCTCATGTCCAAGGCAGACAGGCCGCGCCTCGCGCGCGTGGCGCAGTGGTGCGAGCGCCGCCCCTCAGGCCTGCGGCTGGGTAGGCTTGTGGGCTTGGGGCTGCTGGGGGTGTGCAGCGCCAGGCGCTTGCGGCAGCACACACCCCTGAAGCGGCCCCGGCGCTAGACAAGCACATCATAATGGGATCCTGCCTCTGACGCCTTGTGGGGCCGCTGCTCTCCTCACGTGCAATCCTTCATGTGCTCCCATCGTCTCGTTTCTAAACCCAACACAGGACAGCCAGCGGGCTGTGTACCAGCGCCCCTAGGACCCACCCTCTCTCGCGCACCCGCGCATACGCATTAACTTGTTCAATCGCACCCTCGTGCACACGTTCACACCCTCGCGCGTGCGCCTGACGCAGGCGCTGCATCGTGATTGACGAGGGCCACCGCCTCAAGAACGCCGACTGCAAGCTGTCAAGGGAGCTGCGGCAGTACAGGAGCAAGGCGCGCCTGCTGCTCACGGGTGCGCGCTCTGTACACGCGCGCGCCGCCCCCTCTAACCAAGCCGCCGCCCCTTGGACGCCGCCCTTGCGCTGGCAAGGCCCAGCGTGTGACTATGTATCGCGTTGAAGTTGCGCGCGCGACGGGCTGCTCTGGTTCCGCCCATACAAACGGCGAGGGCTGTCCCTTGCCAGCCAAGCGGGGCTGTGGCGCCAGGGATGGGGCCCTCGAGAGAATTTCAGTACGGTACCCTGGGGCCAAGTGCCCCCACAACTCCCTTCCCCAAATTTCAGGCACCCCCCTCCAGAACAAGCTGGATGAGCTCTGGGCCCTGCTCAACTTCCTCATGCCGGGTGAGACGCGCTGCCGCACAAAGCTGCTTGGGTTCCATCCAGCAGGGCATTCTCCCGCTTGCTGGACCCGTAGTCAAATAGTTCTGACGAGTGCAGTTCAAAGAGAGCAGCGCCGCTTTCGCAAGCAGCTGAGCAGCCATCTGCAAACCCGGCCCCCGTGAAAGCAACCCCCAGGGCTCTCAATGCTCCAATATCGAGGAAGCGCCGCCTCCCTGTGCCCCTTCAGATATGTTCGACTCAGCGGAGGACTTTGCCTCCTGGTTTGGGCAGCCCCTGGAGGCGCTCAAGGGCGGCGGCGGCGCGGCGCGCGGCGACGGTGGGAAGTTCCCGCTGCAAACATTTAGACCTGCAGCACCCTCCCCTGCATGCAGCCGCACAGCTGTGAACTTTATGGATCCGTCTTGTCATCCTGCTTGACTGGCTGCTAGGCCACTAAAATCCATCTTACGCAGCAAGCAGGCAGCGCAAGTTCTGTTTTTATTTTCTGATCCCTTTTCTGAATCAATTTAACGCTCCCGTTGCCCTGCAGGTGAAGATGCGGAGGATGCTGCTGGTTTGACCCAGGTGAGCGGCGGCAGCACAAGAATCCCGATGCGGGGTGGCACAGGCCAAGTGGCTACGCATATCGCTTCGTGGCTCCGTGAACCCGCCCTTGTCGGCCTAAACCCTACACTCCGGGCCCAAATGCACCCCTCTCATCCCTAAAAAGGACGCCATGTCATCCCTCCACCACCACCCCCTGCAATATGTCAACACTCCACCTTTGTTACCAGGCCCCACCTCCACACACACACACACACACACACACACACACACTCTCTCTCTCTTCACAGGAGGAGTACCTGCTGCTGACATCACGCCTGCACACGGTGCTGCGCCCCTTCATGCTGCGCCGCCTCAAGGACAGCGTTGCGGGGGAGCTGCCCGGCAAGACAGAGGTGGTGCTGCGATGCCGCATGAGCCCCTACCAAGAGGTGCGGCGGAGCAGCCCCTTTTTTTCTGGGGGCAGAGCGACCGTGCCGCGCGCGGCTGCCCCATTTTTGCACGCCACCTTGCAGCCAGCGTAGAGAGAGCCTCCAGGGATGCGGACGCGCGCTGCCGCCGCCCGCGGTCTCCTTTGTGGCGATTTGCGGTCTGCCGCCCTCCTCAGCAACCAGTCTCTGTGAGCACATGTTGACTTCCTTCACCCCTCGTACACCCAAGTCTAGCCCCCTTGAGCCACAATTCTCACACACACACACACACGCATGCGCACACACACATGCACACACACACCAGCACACACAAGCACACACACACTGTGACGTGCATCTTGTTTTGGACAGGCCCTCTACTCACTCGTGAAGGGCAGCTTCGTCGGCGCTGCGCAGCAAGAGGGGGATGCGGCGGCGGCGGCCGCAGGCGACGGCCGTGCTGCGCGCGGCGGCAAGGCGTCGGCGGGCGGCGTCGTGGGCGGCGGCGGCGTGAGGGGCCTGGGCGTGAGCGTGAACAACGTGCTTATGGAGCTCAGGACGATCTGCAACCACCCCCTGATCAGGCAAGACACGGCCCCCTTGATCAAGTGCTTGACAAACAAGTGGCAAGCAGCCCCATTCAAATTCCCAGGCGCAGGCGGCTGGGCCCGCCTAGACCATCGTCCTTAGTATCCCTGCTTGTGGTGCAAATCTGCGTCGCACGCGCCAAGCCCGCAGCCCTGTCAAATCCCCCGAAACGCCCCCCCTCTGCACCCCATCCCCACAGCCGCCTGCATCCGGAGATGGGGGAGTCCCTGCTGCCGCCGTCGCCGCTTGGCCTGCCCCCCGGGCTGCGGCTGAGCGCCAAGGTGGAGGCGCTGGACCGGGTGCTGATGCGCATGGCGGCCGGCAGGCACAAGGCGAGCTGCGCGCGTTGCGGGGATCGGGGGCGGCGCGGGTGGCGCCGGGTCTGCGGGGAGGCGGCAGTCGGACATGGCTGTTGCCATGCGTTTGCAGCACTGCTTGCCTCCTCTTGCAAACCTCTTGCAAAGCTCCAAGCCTCCTACATCCCCCCAGAACAACCCATTTTTTCTATTGTTTGGCATTGCTCATGTTGCCTACACATCAAGTCTACAACAGCTACAACCACCTCTCTAATCCACCAGACCAGTCAGTTCCGTACACCAGCCTCCCGTAAACAGCCGGCGGAACCAAACAGTTCCAAACCAAATGCACGCCCCCCCCCCCCCACTCTCGCGGCCAGGTCCTGCTGTTCTGCACCATGACGCGCGTCCTGGACGAGCTGGAAGCCTACCTGGACTGGCGCGGCTTCAGCTCCCTGCGCCTGGACGGGGCCAGCGGCAGCGCGCAGGAGCGGGGCGACCTGGTGCGGCGGTTCAACGACCCAGGTGGGGCGGGAGGAGGGTGCGGGCTGATGCCTGGAATCGTTTGCAGGCGGGTTGTTTGAGGCTTCTGCTGGTTCAAAGGGATGCAAAAGGGTGCTGAAGGGTTGCCGGGGCGTAATTGGGGGCACAGGCGTCGGCCGCGGCTGTGGGTGCTGCAGGCGGGGGTGCGCACTGGGGTCTGGCAGGGCAGGGGGCGTTGGGGCGAGGGCGGTGCGGGCAGGCAGTGCTTGCGGCAAGCTCGGCCCGCGTGCGGACTTCATCAAAGCCTTCCGTTACGTCGTGACCGCAAATAAGCCCAGCAAGCAGTGACTACCCGGGCAGCCTCCCGCTTCGCTTGCGGTGCGCCGCAGGGCCGCTTGATTGCCCTGCTCCCCCTCGCCGCCGCTCCTGCGACCGCCGCGCCCACCCTGGCCGGTCCCTCCCCGCACCGACACCCCCCTTTTCTCCATTTTGCAACTACTGATGTACCCGCAACCGCAGACTCTGATGTGTTTGTGTTCCTCCTGTCTATCCGCGCCGGCGGCGTGGGACTCAACTTGCAGGTGCAGACGCCCAGGACCCACCTCACTCAAATTTGACCGTCAATTCCTTCCATTCCCTTCCTGTGATGAGGGTCGCCTCCTGCCCCGAGCAGCAGCAGTCCCCCTGTGTCGGGCTCCTGCCGCCTCCTCTCTTCGGGGTCGACACACAACCACTGCACGCTGACCGGGCGCCCGGCTCTCCAATCGGCTCGGCCACACCTACCTGCCATACCCTGCGCGTGTCGACCCGCTGACCGGTCCCTCCATCAACTTGCACTGCAACCCCAGGCGGCCGACACCGTCATCATGTATGATACGGACTGGAACCCGCAGATCGACCTGCAGGTGCGCGCGCAGCGCTCTGCCTGAGCACCCGCGCGCGCGCGCGCACACACACACACACACACACACACACACACACACACACAACGCACACGCACACATACGCACACACATATGAAAACATACATACACACACAGACATGTGCGCACGCATGCACATTGCCTGAGCGTTTTGGCGTCTGGGGTCCATGCCCACAGTCGAGGCCGTGGCCTTCACATGCTGTGCCGAGCCCCCGCATCGCGGGCGCCGCGCCCCCGCACCCCTGCCTGCCTTCAGTCTCGACCTGCGCCGCTAGCCCGCCCTACAACTCCCATGGCGCCCCACCCACGCCTCTGAACGATCAGTGTCCCCCGCACTGGTGCATGCGCGCGCATACACACAAACTGCGCAACCCCTCCTGCCACCGCTCGCCTCACCCTCATCAAAAAACCAACACATCCACCACCCCAGGCCCAGGCGCGCGCGTACCGCATCGGCCAGACGCGCCCCGTGCTCGTGGTGCGCCTGCTGGTGGGCGGCAGCGTGGAGGAGCACGTGCAGCGCGTGGCGGCGGAGAAGATCAAGTTTGCAGACTCAAGCATCACGGGTGGGCAATGTTGTGTGTGAGGGTGTATCGTGTGTGAGGGTGTATTGTGTGTGTGTGTGTGTGTGTATGTGTGTTTGTGTGTGTGTGTGTGTGTGCGCGCGCGCGCGGGCAGGGGGTTGAGGTCAGGGTGGCGTGACGGTTTGTTGACAAATGAAGCGTGGAGCTGGTGTCACTCAGTGGCAGGGCTCCAGGTGGGGTGTCCACGCGTGCGCCCGGCAAGGGGGCCAGGACGTTAGCAAGGGGATACGGGTTGGCGGCCTATCCAGCATGGCGTTGACCACGCAAGTGCTCGGCAGTCCTGTAGTCGCAGGAGCTGGGTTGCCATCATGCTGCCAACACAGCTTTGCTCACGCCGCTTTCATGCTCCAGTGAGCCTACCCCTGCCCAGCGGCATGCGCACTTGATCTTAGCGAGCCCCTCATCCCACGCGCGCTCCCAGGCGGCTTCTTTGACGGCATGACGTCAGCAGACCAGCGGCGCCAGTACCTCCTGTCAATCCTGAACGCCCCAACCGATGGCCCCCAGCCGGCGGCCACCGGCGGCGCCTGCCCTGGCGGCGGCACCAGCAGCGGCGGCAGGGGCAGCGGGTTGGACATGAGCGATGGGGAGCTGAGCAGGCTCTTGGCGAGGGGCGCCGACGAGGAGGCGCGATTCAAAGCGGAGGACGCGCGGCGCGCGGCCGCCGAGGCTGCGGCGGCCGAGCGGTGGGCGGCGGCAAAGGCGGGAGCGAGCGCGGTCGCGGGTGCGGGCGGCGCGGATGCGGCTCCTGTGGCGCGCCTGGCGACGAGGGAGGAGTGCGCCGCGCTGATCCGCGAGGCGGCGGAGGCGGCGGCGCCCAAGCGCAAGGAGGACCCGGCAATGTTTGGCAGGGGCATGCGGGGCGCAGCGCGGCAACAGGAGCAGGGCTCAGATGCGTCGGGGCCACCAGTGCAGCCGCTGCAGCCGCCGCCGCCCAAGGCAGCCGCCTCGGCGCCTGTGGGCCGCAAGCGCAACGCGGAAGTGCGGCAGCAGGGCGATGGTGACAAGCAGCAGGCTGCCCCTGCGGGCCGGCCCCAGGGACCTGCGCCCGCCCCTGCTGGCCAGCTGTGCTGCACAGAGCAGCAGCAGAAGCCGGGCGATGGGGAGCCGCCGCAGCCGGCAGCCCGAAGCCCAACGGTGCCGGGCGGCAAGCCGCTGGGCTGCGGCAAGTGCCGCTGGGCCAAGGCAGGCTGCAAGCGCTGCAGGGTCGAGGCGGTCGTGCCCCAGGACGACAGCGCCTCTGCCGCGGCGGCGATGGAGCTGCGCAACAGCTGTGGTGGACGCGGTGAAGTACAGGAGGCCCCCCGGACAGCTGCGGCCAGGGCCCGCGACTTTGCGGTGACTGCAGCGACGCCGGCATACACCGCAGCAGGCAACGGCTGTGGTTTCACTGGCGCAGATGGTGGGGGTGATGAGGAGGAGGATGGTGGGGCAGACCAGGAGGCGGTGAGCCCGCTCGCTGGCACGCGCGGCCCCAGCGCAGAGGCGGCCGCGGAGGCCGAGGCTCTGGCGCTGTCGCCGCCGCGGCCGATGGAGCTGCAGCCGTCGCCGCAGCCTCAGCGGCAGCAGGAGCGCATGCCAGGCCATGAGGAGAAGGAGCTGCCTGCGACCAAGCCGCAGCAGACCGGGTCGTTGCGGAAAGAGACTTCAGGCGTCGTCGCCCAAATGAGCATGCCCGCAGCGGTCAAGCGCCCCGCGGCGGGCGACGCGGCGCCTCCGCGCGATGTCAAGCGGGTCTGCAACAAGCGGCAGGTGGTGGCATCGGCGGGCGCAGCGGCTGTGCAGCGGCCGGAAGAGGACGCCGCGGCAGCCGCAGCGCCGACGCGCAGCAAATCTGCTGCTTTGCCGCCGCCCGCCGTCGACGCCGCTGCGGTCCAGGCCGAGGCGGCGGTGGTGGGTCTGCTGTTCGCTCGCTTTGGGCCAGGGGCGGCGAGGGGGTACGCTGCTGCAGCCGCCGCGCCAGACGAAGTGGTCGGTATGCTGTGGCGGCGCTTCGGGCTGGCGCGCGTTGAGCAGGTGGGAGCGGCCGACGTACGCGGGTGCAGCAGCTGGCTGGAGGGCGCGGGCGCCGTCCCGTTGGTGGTGGTGCCGGCGCCGCCAGAGGGGCTGGAGGGGGCCGTCGGCCGGCTGCTTCACACACGCAGCGGCGCCGCGGGCAGCATGAGGCACGGCACGCTTCGAGGCGGCGGCAGGGGAGGGTATTGACTGGGCCAACGCACACATTCTTCAAGCTGACTTTGGGGTCCAAGACTGAACGGCTGCCGTGGCAAGCTCTCTGATTGGGACAGTGACAGCACTTGCCTGCAGGCCAACACGACCGCCCAGCGCAAGGTGGACGGATTGCGGGTGGCAGGTGGCACCGATTGTCGCTTTGCCCTGCAAGTCTGTTTGAAGACCTGCCATGGTTTTGAGTTTGATTCCTCTGTAACATTGTAGCACAAAGATTCAGAATGATCGCTCGCATGTGGACTGGACGAGACAATAGTGTCTTGGTGGTGCATTGGCTACCTCGACTCACGGCCGGCAGCACGCTCGTGACCAGCTGTGAAGGATGCTGCCACAGGTCAGTGCTCCGCAACGTCGCTGTGCCATCACTCCCCTCCTGTAGCTCCATCTTGGACTCACACCGTGCCTAACAACTGCATGCAAGTGCCACCAATGATTGTTGTGATACGAGTGAGGCTGTCAAACAGCATCACAGATTTTGACACCAGCCCTACATGCACGCAGGCTTGTTGGAGGGACACCAGTGTCATTTCCAGCTGCTTTTCTACATGCGCGGCCAAAACCGAGCTGAAGCACAGAGGGTGATGTTCAGGTACGTGGCTGCCTGCCAGCACACAGCGTACAAAGAGTGTGGCAAGGGGGGGGGGGGGGCGAGGCAGCCCCTGGCGTGTGTGTGGGGCCGCGGTCAATGGGTCAAGGCAGCACCAAGCTCGACTATATGTGCGCAAGGCACGGCAGCGTGCGATCTATGCACCCCAGCACTGCTGCGAGACGTCTTGCGAGCTAATTTGTACAACCAAGGCCCTCTAACATCAAATCCTGTCCAGCATGACTTGTTGGGCCTGCAAAGCCCTCCTTGCATGCCACCCAACGCAGATATCGCAATGCAAGACATGCAGCAAAAAGACGGCATGGCATTTGCCATGGCTCTTGGCCGTTGCTGTATAAACTGAGAGTGGTGAACTCGATCTAGTGCGTACTCTTTGAAGTGCCACGGCTGAACCGTATGGTATAACTGGCAACATCAACTTGATCTTCAAGATCGGCAGCTGCTTGTGGGGCTGTCGTGCAACTACAACGCCATTTGATGGATATTCGCTTGCCATTTCACAAATAAATCAGCGCAAATCAAAATGTACACTGACTCATCCCAGCACTTCACGACGCAGTCGCACAAAAATCCAGCTCGCTGACGACCAGCACCAATGCGCGCCAGTGGCCCCGTCATGGGGCCCAGGGCGCACTGCGTGCGTGTGAAGGGCCCTGTGGCTGCCGGAAGACGCTCCTGCATGGTGGTGGCCCAGCTCGCTGCAGTCAACGCTGCCATGCCTGCACGCCCATCGCCGCCGACGGCGCTTGGCTTGCTGCAGGCGCGCATCGGCCATGCCACAGGGCTGCTGAGTGAAACCAAGGCTGCGCTGCTGCTGCGCCGTGAGCGCGAGGCGCGCGCGGCGCGGGCCATGTCTGTGGAGGCCCGAGCGCGCTGCATCATCCTGCATCAGCAGAAAGGGGCCGTTGCAAATGCACAGTCGTGGATGAACGAGATGGGCTGTGCGCCAAGGGCCTATGACGAGATGAGCGAGCTGCTGGCGGAGATAGAGGCTCGCAGGGGCGCAGACTTCGACGTCGATGTGGCCGCAGAGCGCCCCGCCGCTCCCTTCAACAGCGGCGCCCCGCAGCGCCGCGGCCCCTTGCTGCTCCGCGTGCTGCGCCGCCTCAATGCAGACGCGGCGGCGCTCGCGGCAGAGCGCGGCGCCGACCACCCCGCAGCTGTCGCCGCGGCTGAGGCTGCGGCTGTTCTGCTGCGCGAGGGGCGCGCGATGCTGCACGGCTTCGGGATCACAAGCCAGGGGGCGTGGCGCCTGCAAGCTCTAATGCGAAGGTGCGTTGACGCTGCTCAACAATCAAAAAACATATGAGGCAGGTGATTTAGTGGGGTTGTACAACTGACACAGGGGCAAGTGGACAGTGCTGTATCTTGGGGGCTGCGCTGCATGTTTCGTGCACAAACCTCCCGAGTCACCTGCAAATTTCGTAACACCCATTCCCTTGATTTGCAACATCCCTGAATTGGCTCCCGCAGATACAATGAAGAGCTGGCGGCCAAGCAGGAGCAGCAAGACAGGGACGTGGCCGACCACCTTCGCACCATGATCGAGCTGCTCCCGCCGCGCTGGCGTCAACGCTGGCAGTGCGGCACCCCATATGACATGATGATGGAGAATGTTGGCCGCATCAACACCTCCCAGGCCTATCGCTGGGCGTGCGATGATGTCACCGTGTACAAAGAGCCCACCGCGCGCCCCGAGGACCGCTGGCTCCCGACCGGCATGGAGTGCTCCGTGGCGGAGGCCATCGCCGCCGCCGGCGGGCCCCTCAAGGACCACCCCAGCTGGAGTGTTCCCCACACCATCACAGGCCTGCACGTCATCATCGACCGCACCCCCTGGGGCGACGCCAGGCGCCGCGACAGGGCGGTCAAGCTTGGCGCGACCGCGCCCCCGCAGCAGCCGGCCTTTGATGTCGACGCAGACCCCCTCCTCCCAATGAGACCGCAGCAAGCAGCACATGCAGTGTAGCAGACGCACCCAGCAGCCGTGAACCCGTATGCATCAACACCTGGCTTCCGAGCTGAATCCATCCGGGTCTGATATCAGAAATGCTGACCAGCTCTTTCACAGCCGCGTCATGCAGGTTACAGCAGGCCTCAATCTCAGCGCACCTTTCCACACTTTTCCTGGCACTCACAAGTTGCAGTGCTGTTGAACAGCACTGCAAGTGCTTTCGCAGCGCCGTGCCTAGCGCTGTACTGGTGCGGCAGGTCTAATCATCCAGACACTGACTCCTGTAGTAAGAGAACATGGAGGCGTACGGTACTGTGCGTCCTTTCATCCTTCACATCAGAATCGTGTAACTCCAGTCACCCCGCAATTTTCCGTACTGAGACGCATCGAGCTCTAGATCATGGGTTTATATGAGTTCCGGTGGATATGAGTTCCGGTGGAACGGGTACGGGCAGGGATACCCCGCTCGCTTTGTGCACTCCGCTGCTTGCCGCACACTTGCTCCTTTGATCCCCGGTGAGACGGTGACGGCCGACTACGACTCCAAGGTAGTGAGGTATACTTTTATATCATGGGTTCATATCATAGCTGGCAGCGACATCGAGATCGGCAGCTGCGTGCTCGGCTGTCGTGCATCTACCGTACGACGCCACTTGATTGGGATTTGCATACAACATAAATGTCAACGCGGAGAAAGCTTACAGTGCTATGATAGCAATCCACGACATAGTCGCACAAAAAATCTAGCTCTGTGACAACCCGCACCAATGCGTCCCAGTGGCCCTGACATGGGGCCCAGTGCATATTGTGTGCGTGTGAAAGGCTCTGTGGCCGCCGGCAGACGCTCCTGCATGGCGGTGGCCCGGCTCGCTGCAGTCAACGCGACAATTCCTCCACACCCAGGGTCGCCAACGGGACTCAGCGTACTGCAGGCGCGCATCGGTCACGCCACAGTGCTGCTGGGTGAGACGAAGGCCGCGCTGCTGGTGCGCCGCGAGCGCGAGGCGCGCGCGGCGCTGGCCATGGCTGAGGAGGCAGGAGCGCGCTGCGAAATCCTGAATCGTCACAGGCGGGCCGTTGCGAGTGCACACTTCTATGTGAACGAAGAGGGCTGCGCGCCAAAGGCCTTTGAAGAGATGAGCGAGCTGCTGCAGGAGATAGAGGCTCGCCGGGGCGCTGACTTCGACGTCGATGTGGCCGCGGAGCGCCCCGCCGCTCCCTTCGGCGGCGGCGCCCAGCAGCACGGCGGTCCCTCGCTGCTGCGCGTGCTGCGCCGCCTGAATGCAGACGCGGCGGCGCTCGCGGCAGAGCGCGGCGCCGACGACCCTGCAGCTGTCGCAGCGGCATATGCTGCAGCTAATCTTCTGCGCGAGGGGCGTGCCATGCTTAACGGCTTTGGGATCACCAGCCAGGGGGCGCGGCGTCTGCAGGCCCTCCTGCACAGGTGCGCTGACGGTGCTGCGGAAGTGGACAGGGAGGGTGAGATGATGAAGTTTCAATGTCATCCGAACATTTTTGATGTATTGCCATTTGCATTGTTGTAAAGCACGGTGTTGCTGCAACACCACATGCAAATCTTGCAAATCTCCATACCCCCTGCAAAGCTCCTGTCCACCATACTTTGATTGTAAAGCAACCACAAAATCCCCTCCCCCAGGTACAATGATGAGCTGGCGGCCAAGCAGGAGCAGCAGGACAGGGACGTGGCCGACCACCTTCGCACCATGATCGAGCTGCTCCCGCCGCGCTGGCGTCAACGCTGGGAGCACGGCACCCCCTACGACATGATGATGAGGAATGTGGGCCGCATCAACAACCAGTCGGTCTATAAATGGGCGTTCGACAATTCAATTTTCTACGAGGAGCCCACCGCGCGCCCTGAGGACCGCTGGCTCCCGACCGGCATGGAGTGCTCCGTGGCGGAGGCCATCGCCGCCGCCGGCGGGCCCCTCAAGGACCACCCCAGCTGGAGCGTTCCCCACACCATCACGGGCCTGCACGTGATCATCGACCGCACCCCCTGGGACGACGCCAGGCGCCACGACAGGGCGCTCGAGCTCGGCGTGATCTCGCCCCCACAGCAGCCCGCCTTCCACGTGGATGCAGACTCACTCCTCCCCATGCGACCACAGCAAGCAGCACATGTGGTGTAGCCCACGCATCCAGCAGCCCTGAACCCGTATGCATCAACGCCTGGCTTCGGACCTGAATCCATCCCGGTCTGACCTCACAAAGCTGCTGACCAGCTCTGACACAGCCGCATCACGCAAGTTACAGCAGGCCTCAACCTCAGCCCATCGTTCCAAACCAGCGCCTTTTCCTGGCGCTCAACACTTGCAGTCCTGTTCAACGGCAACGGTGCAAGTTGCTTTCGCAGCGGAGCGCCGTGCCCAGCGCTGTACGAGCGTGGCGCGGCAGGTCTACTCATCCAGACACTGACTCCTGCATTTTATAGTGTTATGATTCCAGATCATGAAGGCGTACTGTTCGTCCTTCACACCACCGTGTAACTCCAGTCACCCCGCAATTTACCATACTTACCGTAGACGCTCAGAGCTCTAGATCGCAGTAATCACTGTGCAAAGCACACCACACATTCCGCATTCCTGCGCCCGTCTCCTGCTCTCAATGTTGCCGTTCATGCTGCACAGGGCGCTCATGCGGCGCAGCAGCATGGGCGGCGCAGTTGCTGTTGCTGTCCTCACAGCCCCCGCCCTCCGACAAGCACACAGCCTGGCCATAGGAGCTATATACTCAGTCGACAGAACCTTTGACGCAGCCGCCGTGGATGCCTTCACGGAGCTGACAGGCGATACGAACCCCATTCACACGGCAGCTGCTTCCGGCCCTGCTGCAGATCATGCGTCTGCAGCCGCCCCTGCGGCGCAGCCGCCGCCGATCGTGCCGGGCATGTTGTTGGCATCCCTCTTCCCCGCCATCATTGGGTCGCAATTCAGCGGCGCCCTGTACCTGACGCAGACCCTCGCGTTCAGGTCTCAGTGTGCGGTTGACGAGCCCGTGCACGCACACGTGACCGTAACGCACGCGTCCGGCGGGCGCGTGCGGTTCGCCACGGCGTGTCACGCGGCGAGCGATGGGCGCGTGCTCGTCGACGGTACGGCCCTGGCGTTGATTGGGGGCCGGCCGCGTGCGGTTGAGGGGTGAGCGGCGGAGTCAGCGCACACTGCCGAGCCACCGAGCGCCAGCCGTGCTGCTAGCTTGGATTGTCACAGCCGAGCGAGGCTCCGCACACATCTCCTCGACAGCTGTTGGCCTGCGCTGAATTTGAAATCAAGGTGCGCCTCTACGCAGCCGCGTGATTGGCGAAAAAAGGCATTTGGCTCTCGCCGCGCACCCCAGGGGCAGCCTTGGGCGCGGCAAACGCGGCACCAGCTTTGCCGGTCGCCTCATGTGTGCACGTGGCTGCACCGTACATCAACCTTCATCTTGTTGATTCCCCTGTAAACCTCCATCACACCGGTAGATCCGCCAGGCATGACATCACTTCGTCACTACGTCGCTACACAGCACTGCTGTCCAGCGGGCTGGCCCGGCTGCCGAGTGCCGCGGGCCTGGCATCTTAGTGTTTTTGTTTTCATGGAGACCCAGCTGACAGCCGTGGTTCCAGTGGGAGGAAGCGCAGAGTGCGGCTGGTGGTGGCCGCACGGCTCGTTCAGGGGCCAGGGCGCAGCGCAGCGGCGGTGTTCGGGGGCAGCATAGCATGGTTCTGGATTTTGAGGAGTGCCTCAAGGCTCAGGTGCGTGGCTTGTGGGACCTCATAGGCTGGCGGCTGCTAGCGCTTGGCGCTGGGCGGCGGGCGGCGGCCGTCTGGCAATTGACAGGGATCAGAGCCGCCGCAAAGTCTGCTTTTCCATCAGCCTGCCAATCGATTGAATATGCTTTGCCCATACCCTACCAGAGCTTGGCATCATCCCCACTCAGGAGCTCTCAATAAATGACTCTTCTTGTGCTACTCACACCTTGAGCATGCAGAGCCCTCTTGGCTTGCTGAGGGTCAGGAGAGGCAGTTGGGACCTGCAAGCAGAGCAGCCGGCGGGCGGGCGGTGGCGGCTTGCTGCAGCTTCTCGCCAGCTCGTGAGCGATAAGGTGCGGTCAATGCATCGCATGTGGTTCAGAGGAGCCGTTTCCTGCTGCCTCCATGCATGTAATAAACATGCAGCGGATTGGCCCAGGTACATCTCCAGTTGACTTGTGTGTCAGTATTCTGGTGCCGTGGTTGCGTCCTGGCCCCCCTCAACATCCCAACCCCACGACCGCGATCTCCTTTGCTTATCCCGGCGGGCTTGAATGCGTCTGTCTCAATTGAACCCGCAAGAGCACACGCTCATGATTCTTGTATGCGCGTGGTCCCCGCGCCCCTGCCCTGCACCAGGAGTTGCTGTGGGTTGATGGGCCTGTCTACTGGCGACTGGACGACACACCGCGCGACACTGTCCTTTCTGCTGAGGGGTGAGATTCCCGCTGTGCAGGGGTGTGACAGAAGGAGGGAGGCCAGCTGTGCCACCATCATGGCGCCTTGGGCACATATGCCTGCTAGCAGTAAGCAAGAGTCTGATTAGACGTCACCCAGCATCCGTTCCATATTGAGTAGCAGCAAGCTGCCCAATTGCGAGCACCGCTTCTGTTGCAGATACCACAGCCCCAACCCCCAAATTGCGCCTGCACTCCTGGAGCCCAGCACACTGTTGAATTCTACACCATTTGCCGCTTTGGCTGAAGCCCCACCATCACCCGTGCACTCCTCCTTTCAGATGGTGCTGCATTGTCAACACCACCAGGCAAGCTGCGGCACAGCTTGATGGCGACCACCCAACCGACATGTGGAGGTCAGCAGGACAGGCTGCAGCGCGAGCACGTGAGCTGCTTTGGCACAAGGTGCATCAAGCCAGGGAGGGGGCTTGAAAGCAACGCAGGCAGTGCTTCAGAGGTGTGACCCTGGCCGCCCCGCAGGCCGCAGCATCGTGGTCAAGTGAGGCGGCCTAGTTCAATGCTGGCTTTGGAGTTCAAAGGGTGACATCAGCACTGCGCATCACGCAGCTTCCTTCGCAACAGTTGTCATCTGGGCTAGTAGCAGCTGCCAAGCACGGGATGAGGCAATCTTTTGGGCATCACAACATCATATTCAATCGTCTGACAGATGCTGTTGAATGTATTACTTGAGGACCGAGCCCAACTCCAAATGCACGCACCAGCACTGCACATTTGTGACGATGCCATGATCAAGATCGAAAGCCTCCCTAGCTTTGCAAATGACTAATGCATGCCGTGCAAGTTACGTGCCAGCCTCTTTTGTATGCACGCGGCCACAAACGACAAGCGCACTGCACACAAGGCAATTTAGCGGCTGGCTTCAGAATGTTGGGGCACAGGCATGGAAAGCATGCCTTCTCTGCGCCCCGCTCGCAAGGCCAACCCCTTGACAATTCAAGTGGCGCCCTCCAACGCCTTGAGCGCGGTGGCTATCACCCTGTCGTAACCCTCCAGCTTGTCTTTCAGCGCAGCCTCACGCGCCTCGTCGCCGCTGCACGCCTGCAGCTGCTTGAGCAGCTTGGAGTGCTCCCCCCTCCACCTTCGTATCCTTGCATGCAGAGCGTCGCGCCGCTTCTGCCGAGCAGCCTGCTGGTCCGCCACATACCGCGCGTCCTCGGCGTCGCGCGCCGCGCGCCACGCCCTCTCAGTGCTCTGATTTTTGATCAGAGAGGCAGCCATGAGCACGATATTTCTCGAGTCTGCTGAGGTGGGCGCAGTGGCCGCGGCTGCCCTGTTCAGCGCCTCAGCCATGTCCTGCCGTATGCAAGGCAGGTCTGAGTCGCGCAGCGCCGCCTCCAGCTCTTCCATCAGCGCGGGGTTCTGGTCGGAGGTAAAGTCGGCCTCAGGCGCTGCACGGCCGCGCCACATGACGACGCGGGACGCGCCCGCGGCGCCCTCCCCCTCCTGCTGCTCCTTGAGCGCTCTGATGATCATGTAAACCAATGCTGACGCACGCGCCATGTCGTCCAAGCCGTGGGGCAGGGGCACTAGCGCGGCTGCCACCTTCGCGGCCACCTCCGCATCTCGCTGGTCCCAAGTCTCGCCCCAATGCCGGGCAATCTTCTCGACGCGCGGCAGCAGCGCGTTGAGACCCTGAAGCGGCAGCTCAAGCCGCTGCAGGGCGTGCAGCGCGGCAGGCCCCTCGCCTGTCGACGCGCCCGCGTGCCCAGCCGCCGTGTCCTGCTGTTTCACCTCATAATTCTGCACTGCGTTGACTACGAAAAATACCACCTCTGCCACTGTCAGGGCGTCCTCCCCGTACGTGGGGCCTGGGCAAACCGCCGCCGCAGCCTTGACAGCGTACAAGAGCAGCTGCGGCGAGGGCGGCGGCTCGCGGGGTGCGACGAACTGCACCCTATTCTCCAGAGTGCGTGGGAGGTGGATCTGATCAATTTCCCGCAGCGCCTTCTGGGGAAGTCGTTCCAGAACTGCTGCAGGCACCCAGCTGCGGGCTGCGTTGCTGCTGCCGCCGCTGCCGCTGGCGCTGCCGCTGCCGCCGCTGCCGTCGTCGCCGTTTCCACGCACAACACAGCATTGGACGGCTGCCCGCCTGGGCATGCAGATGCTGGACGGCGCAAGCGTCCTCGTTCGAGTGGGGTGTGCCTGCATGATTGCACAGTGTGCAGATCAGCACTGCGCAGTTGGGAAAAGTGGTGCCTGAAAATTGATCCACCCAGCAAAGAATGCGCTTGATGCTGCCCAGCACAGCATGCGGCCGCCAGGCTCAGGCCTCATCCACAGGGGTCAGAGACGCACGTTAAGCGGCTTCGAGCCGGCGTAGAGGTACATAGACCTCATTGTTGCCGATCACGAGGTCGTCTCGATTCGAGATGATCTCTGTTGCGATAGCGGGCTGTATATCGGTCGGGGTCGAACAAATCAAAGCCTCAGGAATGCAGGAACTTTGTCCAAGCAAGCCGCGAACGCCCGAACCACCGAAATTTGTCTCCGAGGATGTGCTATGAGCTCATAGCACATTCTCCAGCTGGGCACAACCGGCACACATGAACACACCATACAGCCTTATTTAGTGCGATTCGTCACCAAAACAATGCAACCTAAATTGCCGGGTCCAAGAAACTATGGAGCCGAACTGGGGCCCCAGCGAACCGACGCTTGGTACTACAGGGTGCTGCAAAGGGGATCCTTGCGGCAATGCGCCATGAGCAGCTCGGATAATCCAGCCAAGATCATGCTCTTGTCGGCCCCCGGTACTCCCGCTTACCTCTGCACCGCGGCTCTTGGGCCTTGACAGCACCCTGTGGCCCTGCAAGATGCAAGATGACAGCTGATGCACCCTGCTGTCACGCCTCTTGCCGGCCACCCATGTGTCCAGCAAAGTTCGGCTTGCGCCGCCCCCGTGCACCTTCCCTTATTCAAGCCAATTTTACGCGCCCCTAATTACTGTTGTCAACGCCAGCTCCTGCAGCTCTGAGGTGCAGTCTCCGGCAGAGACTGCCGCGCCTACTGGTTCAGCCGCCCGCGCGCACATAATGTGAGTTGTTTAAGGCTTAACGCCGCAATGCAAACCCCGTCTATCTCCAATCCCCTGTCCACACGCTGTGGCGGCGGCGCTCTGTGCCACTGTCGCGTGCAATGGGTGCTGGTGCGCAGCAGGCGCCGGGCGCGGGCTTTGGCGAAAGCAATGCGATGCAGTGCAGCTGTCTATGACTGTTTATTGTCCAATTTCCCCCTCCGGTGACTCTGTCCAATGCGAGTGGACAGCCCGCACAACCCGTACCTCCAGCGGACTTTTTGCACACCTGCACTATCATCCTTAAGGCACACGAGCCGCTGCATGGCTGGGGCCCTGGCATCAACACTAAATCAGGTCACTCATTGGGTGTGTTCGCTTTACTCGTGCGGTGGGTGTGCAACAACAGATCACGAATGTGCTGCACGCAAGGCTGCTGCCTGCTGCTGAAGCCCACGGGTGCAGCTGCTGACTTGATGACGGCTGCGCAACACGCCTGCCGGCCCGCCCTCCTGGCGTTCCGCCCGATATCTGCCCTTCCATGCGCACCTGGCGCACTCCTCGCTGCAATGCCGCACAATCTGACAGCCGCGGCCCAGGCGCAGCTGGCCCTCCGCGCCCGCCGCCCCCCCCGTGGGGCCCCACTCCGCGCACCACTTTGGGGCAGCGATTACGCCGGCTGCTGGTGTCTGCGCAGCGGGCGCGCCAATCCGTGGCTGCATCGCCTGGTGCTGCTTCTGCCGCAGCCGCTGCTGCTGGTGCTGCTGCTGCTGCTGCTGCTGCTGCTGCTGCTGCTGTTGCTGCTGCTGCTGCTGCTGCTGCTGCTGCTGCTGCTGCTGCTGCTGCTGCTGCCACTGAGCCTCCTAGCGCCGCAGCCCATCTGTTGCTGCAACCCAGGCTACCCGAGCCTCCAAAAAAGCCGGCCGCCTGACGCACCTGTTGTCTCGGGTCTGCAGCACCACTTCGGGCGTCATCCCTCCGCCACCATCGTAAGCCTGAATCAGCGTTCTTGGCCACAGATTGTGCGCTGTTGGCCAGCCCCTGCAGCGGTGACCGTCACGCGTCACCCTTCCCCTTGGATGCCTGCCAGTCAATGCAACACGCACTGTTGGCAATCCACGACTGGCTTTATGCCCCGCTGTATATGTACACTTCTAGCCACAACCTCTCGACATAAGGGTTTGAATACCAGCAAACCCTTCCGTGGTTACAGGCACAAGCCCATGACACGTGTGCCACGTACACAAGGTTGTTACACGGTCATATGACGGAGTGCTTGTGGCAAGCGAAACGGTTGATCCTAAGTTCAGCGGGGGGGCCCAGCGCGCCCAGCGCAGCTGGAATCTCGCCCCTGCAAATTTCGCAGGGGTGCTCAGCGCGCCCAGCGCAGCCAAGAAACCTTCTCATGGTGATCCTCACGTTGCCAGTTGAGTTGAAGTAGGGCCGCGCACAGCAGCAGCCCTTCAGTTCCAAAAGCAAGCAGGAAAAGAGGCATACAATATCACGCGAGTGGAAGGATGTGAACGGCGTACAGAAGCATGCAGGCAGGGTCCCTGTAAGCAGGGGTTGACGTGTCACGAGAACCTCCCACAAGTCAACGGCATTGCTTGCAGCTGATTGCCGGACCGCGCAAAGCAGCAGCCCTGCAATCCAGCCGCCAAGCAAGAAGGTGACGAGGCAAGGAGAATCCAAGCTTGACAGGAAAACTCCTTCCCCTCAGTTCCGGAGGGGACGACGACGCATGCAACCCTCAGACAGGCAGCGCGGGTGGTGGTCAGGTTGTCAGGTTTGGGCCTTGAAAAGGGCCCAAACCCATGGCAGAGCGCAAACCAAGAAGCGGGCGGCCTACAATGGTCACAGTTGACACAACGGCAGTCGATGCAGACAAAGTTTGTAACTTTGCAACAGAGAGAGAGGTTGCAGCCACCGAAGAACCGTGTGTTGCGCGGCGGGCGCCGTGCAACCGACAGGCGGCGCTCACACGGCGAGGGTGCTCCACTGCCTTTGACAGAGGCTTGTCAGGTGGTCAGCGCCAGGAGGCCCGCAGCCGCAGAGCCAGCAGAGCACAGCAGGTGCAGGCCGCCCAACAGGACGCCGCTCGCAGCGCATGCCGCTGCGCGCCGGCCCCACCACCGCTTCTTGCGGCCGGCCGTGTCAGCGGGCTTGACCTGGTCGCAGGGCGCAGGCGGCGCGGCCGCTGCCGCGTGGTACGCGAGCAGGCAGGGGGCGTGGTCGCCCATCCCTGCGGCAGCCACTGCCGCGCTGCGCCCGGTCAGCATCACACGCTGCGCCACGCATGCACCAGCAGCAGCAGATGTGACTGTGGGGAGGGCGCTGTTGAAAGCGGGCAGGCTGAAGATGCTGGCCTGCTCATGGGAGATGGCTGCGGCGGGGGTCGCCCACCAGGCGGCGGTGAGCGCGGGTCGCGGCGGCTGCAGCCTCAAGCGCCGCGGCGCCGCAGGTGCGCTCCACTGGCAAGACGCCGAGGGAGTGGGCTCCGCTGGGCACACCGGCTGCGGCCGGCGCATTGGGAGGAGGGAGTCTGCGTCGACATCAAAGGCTGGCTGCTGCGGGGCTGTGGTCGCGCCGAACTCGAGCGCCCTGTCGCGGCGCCTGGAGTCGTCCCAGGGGCTGCGGTCGATGATGACATGCAGGCCTGTGATGGTGTGGGGAAGACTCCAGCTGGGGTGGTCCTTGAGGGGCCCGCCGGCGGCGGCGATGGCCTCCGCCACGGAGCACTCCATGCCGGTCGGGATCCAGCGGTCCTCGGGGCGCGCGGTGGGCTCCTCGTAGAATATGCTTTCTGTGCACGCCCATTTGTAGATCGCGGAGGTGTTGATGCTGCCCACGTTCCTCATCATCATGTCGTAGGGGGTGCCGTACTCCCAGTTTTGACGCCAGCGCGGCGGGAGCAGCTCGATCATGGTGCGAAGGTGGTCGGCCACGTCCCTGTCTTGCTGCTCCTGCTTGGCCGCCAGCTCGTCGTTGTACCTGCGGGCGCCAATTCAGGGATTTTGCATGGCGAGGGGATGGTGGATACGGTAATTGCGGGCGGCTTAGAGCTTTGTGCGCAAGACATGCGGCAGAGCCTCCAGCAGAGAGCACTGTCCCTCGTTCCCTGTACATTCTGAACGATTGCACTTAAGCACCCGCCTTATCTGTGATTGGCAACAGCAGCGTCAACGCACCTTTGCATAAGGGCCTGCGTGCGCCGGGCCCCTTGGCTGGTGATCCCGAAGCCATGCAGCATCGCACGCCCCTCACGCAGCAGATCCGCAGCAGCATGTGCCGCCGCGATAGCTGCGGGGTCGTCGGCACCGCGCTCTGCGGCGAGCGCCGCCGCGTCTGCATTCAGGCGGCGCAGCACGCGGAGCAGCGAGGGGCCGCGGCGCTGCGGGGCGCTGCTGTTGAAGGGAGCGGGGGGGCGCTCCGCGGCCACGTCGACGTCGAAGTCTGCGCCCCTGCGAGCCTCTATCTCCGCCAGCAGCTCGCTCATATCTTCAAATGCCTTTGGTGCGCAGCCCGCCACATTCGTCCAGGACTGTGCACTGGCAACAGCGCCCCTCTGCTGATGCATGATGTCGCAGCGCGCGCTGGCCTCCTCAGCCATGGCAATCGCCGCGCGTGCCTCGCGCTCGCGCCGCACTAGCAGCGCGGCCTTCGTCTCGCCCAGCAGCGCTGTGGCATGGCTGATGCGCGCCTGCAGCACGCCAAGCGCCGTCGGCGGGGATGGGCATGGCGGCGTGGCAGCGTCGACTGCAGCGAGCCGGGCCACGACCGCGCAGGGGCGTCTACCGGGGGCCACAGGGCCTTTAACACGCACACATTGCGCCCTGGTCCCCATAACGGGGCCACTGGCGCGCATTATTGCGGGTCGTCAGGGAGCTGTTTTTGTGGGACTGCCTTGTAGAGTACCAGGATGCAGGTGTATCCGATAGTATCAGCGAAAACCAATATTGTGTGTTATTCATATAATTGCGCGGCCGGAAATAATGGCATCGCAATTCGCATTTGTGCATGTGACCGGCCCATACGAAGCTGCTGATGCTGCCAGATATAAAGTACAGTTGTGATTAGTTAGATGTTTATTATCATCTCAAAGACATATTCTGCGTCCCCACGTTCATTCCACGATCTACAGCAAAGAAAGGCCATGACGAGTGCATCAGTGAAGGCCGCGCAGGCGCAGCGCCTAACAGGATTCAAATCGGGAAGCAAGAGGTCGTTGATCGTACGGGTGAGCACGCAGGGCGTACGGCAGCCGTGCCGCCGCAAACAGATCACGCGCCTTGCGCGGCGACCGCTTGTTGCTGCCTTGACCCATTGACCGCCGCTGTGCGCATGCGCTGCTCGCTGCATCTTGGATGAGTCCATATATATCTTATTACTGCTCATACTCTGTGTGCTGGTAGGCAGTTACGCACCCCGGCAGCACCATTAGCGCCGGCAGCACCTTCAGCTTGACTACGGCAGCGCGCATCAAGGAGCAGGACATTGCGCTGTCGTCGCTCGACGAGCGCGCGGCGCTGGTGCAAGCCACGATGTGCTTCAAGGAGCTGGCCTCTGAACTGCATCAGGCGGCTTCAGCGGAGGGCGTCGCCCACCCCGCCGTGCGCAACACCTGCATCAGCGTCGCAGAGCGGGAGCTCCTGCGCATCAGGCGCAGCAAGGCCCTCCGGGCCAACGGGGCGGCCAATGATGTCGAGAATGAGGCCATAGACCGCCTGATCGAGAACCTCGACGAGGAGGTGGCCGCCTGGGAGGGGAACGGCAGCGGCATCAGCAGCGGCGAGGATGGCGGCGGCAGGAAGCCTGACCCCTCCACGGGCAGGGTGCCGACTGAGGCCATGTGAGGCAACCATCTGCCATCAAACTTTGCTTTGCAATCTGTAACACTTTCAATCACATCCGTGCAGTCCCTGCAGCGACATTTCAAGCGCTAAAGTCTTTTGTTTGGTTGCCGTGCAGCGCCATGCCGCGAGCGGTAGCAGTGACTCGTCCAAATTGGCGTATCCAGGAAGGGGATGGGCACCAGGGGCGGCAGTGGCCTGCGTTGCAAAAATGCAGGTTGGTGCTTCGGCGGGGTGCCATGACAAGTACGGCAGTGCTGTGGTGCATGAGGGACTCGCGCAAGCATGGATGCTGTCGACAAGATCTTTCATTGTAACAACAAGACAATGAATTGTGGTATAGTGGTATAACACATAGTGTTTTGCCGCAATCGCCGCTTGGCTTGATTCCCATGATGGCGAAGAGATTGAACAATGTCCCTGCAGTGATGAGGCGCAACTTGGGTCAGAGTTGACTGGAGTGGTCTACGGCTGCCAAACTCATATCCTGCCCCAATTGCACCTTTGAATACATCAGAGGCACACTGATAATTTGTACATAGATGGGATCAGCAGCGTGTGCAGCGGTGGGTGACACACACGTGTCCGGAGGGCAACGGCAACGACAACACGCACACCCAAGGAGCGCTTCATTGCACGAATGACGTGCGCTGACTACAGTTATCATAGATTTGACAGGCGCATTGTATTGCATTTGTCCTGCGAGCCAGGCGGACCTCGTTTCGCTCCTCGCCTGGACGCCTGCTGCCCAATCACTCGTTCAGCTGGCATTCGCGAGCGGTTCCGGAAACCCATATCAAGCCTGTAGAGCACGATGAAAGCTTCTCTTGGGACGTCCGCGCGCCCGCGGGCGCCCCACACGGCCTTTCTGCCTGCTTCATCAGCGCCAAGCTCATCATTGCGAAGGCCGTGTGCTGCGTTGAAGACTGCGGTCGTTCAAAAGGTTCCTGCCAAGCCGCGCCTGACGTTCGTCGGCATCGCTCAAGCCGGTGGGTGCGCTCGCGCTGCCCGACCCGCTGGTGCCCGTGTACTGTCCCGCCGACTGGCTGAGCCTGCCAAAGCGACCTCGCATGGCTTCATTTGCTGCAACCCCTTTGATCTGTTTGGTAGGCGATCGCAAAGAGCACATTTTCCACATCGCGCGGGGACTTCGGGTCCCACTGCGGGCCCCACCCCGTGCTCTCCACCGCACGCAGCTGATGGCATGGCGCCCAGCAAAATCTCCTGGGGCGCTCGCCTGCGGCCGCCGCCGCCGCCGATCAGCAAGAGCGACCATGAGTTTCTGCAGATGGGGTTGGAGTTCATGAGCAGCCGCGACGGCATCAGGGTGTCGGAGCTGAACGAGCTTTTTGACAAGGTGAGAGGGCAGCAGTGAGTCTGCAGGAGTGGTGGCAACATGGGCGAGGGCGCGACACCAGTTTCAGGCCGATGGAGCAGGAATGAGCAGCTGCATCAGACACGCATAGCGCTGGCTTGGGATGCGAGTGCCGTTACTCGCCCCCTGCGCTGCGTAATTGGTACATTTGGCAGCTGCGGTCCAGGCAGGGCTGGAGGCTGGCGTCAGTCATGAATTTGCTCGTGTCTCGCAACGGCTATGCACATAGTCAGCGCACCAGGGGCCCCTGCCTGGCTGGCAGCGCGACATCCGCAGCTCCGCGGTCGTGGCAGTGGGCAGGAAAAGTCTCGCTTCACTGGCGGAGCACGAACCCCATCATGCTCGTTGCCCGACAACTCGTTGGCGTGGCAGCTGTGCTGCCGATGCGGCCAGCAGCGTGTCGGCTTCCCCGCGACCCTGAGCAGGCTCTGACGTGCCGCCGCCTTCCCCCCTCCTGCCTCCTACTGCGACGCCCAGGTGGGGTTCCCGCGCCGCGACCCCGAACGGCTCAAGGTTGCGCTCGACAACACCCACCGCCTGGTGTGGGTGCGGGCCACGAAGCAGAGCCGCGTCGCGCGCCTGGGGCAGCTGCTGGGCTTCGCGCGGGCCACCAGGTGCGAGGGGGCTTGCAGCTGATGCATTACTATGCAGCAGTGGACGGGGTAGCTAAGCACGTTTTGATCTGCTGCGACTGCGGCAGCTGGCACAGGGCTGGGCATATGTTCCCTCTCAGCGCTGCTCTCATCTGACGCCCCTCGCCCGCGGCCCCTCCTGTTGCACCCACTGCGCAGCGATGGCGTGTTCACCGCGACCATCTGGGATGTGGCTGTGGCGCCCGCGTGGCAGCGGGTTGGGCTGGGGCGCGCCATGATGGAGCGGCTGACGCGCGGCCTGGTGGAAGACGGCATCCCCAACATTACGCTGTATGCAGAGCCCCAGGTAGGCAGGCCGCGCCTGTTTCAGGTGTGTTTACTGCAGAGTGCGCCCTCTTTCCCGTGACATGACAGCGCCGGATCCTTGGCCACGTCCCTAGTCGCTGCCGCAACCTCTGGCCACTTCCCTGCTTGCTGCCGCAGACTATCGCCTCATGCTGAAGTTGTTGATGCAAACATATTCGTGTTGCTCTCTTGTCTGGACAACTGCACTGCCATGCATGAGTCTCTCACGCGTGGCTTCGTGTCAAGCAATCCATACATGATAATCAACCTGTCGAACCTTGTGGTTCGCCAACGCACAGGTAGTGGAGTTGTACAAAAGGCTGGGGTACAGGGAAGACGGTGTGGATTCTGTTAAGGCAGTGGCGCTGCAGCCCCTGCACCTAAAGCCAATCCCCGAGCAGCAGCAACAGCAGCAGCAACAGTCGCAGCCGCTGCCGCAGCCGCAGCCACAGTCGCAGCAGCAGAACCAGCAGCAGCTCGCCAGCGTCGGCAGCCGCCGGTGAGGTGCCCGCGCCTCAATGCGCTGGGGCAGGTTTGGCGCATGCCATTGCACACAATGTCCCCACTGCGCGCTCGTGCCCCAGCGCGAGCACTGGTACGGTGTGCGGCCGCCGCAGGCACCTTCCAGCAGCTTGGCCCGGTAGGTACCCTCGCCCTGCGCCCACCTTTTTTTCCATCGCATTTCCCAAATTCGAAGCTTGTTTGGCATGGTTTGTTGTTTTGCGGCAGAAACACGATGAGAGTTGCTGCCGCATTTGAGTCTACGTGCGTCCATTGATCTGGCATCATCCACTGAACATAGCAGCACAATCTGCAGCAGCGCGCACACTCCTGCGCTGCACAGCACCACAATTCTTGCTGAAGTTTTTGAGGTTGTTCTTGTGCCTATCAGCGAAAGGCGACATTGCACACCGCGCCGCCGCTGTGCGGGACGCCAGGTGTGGCGAGAGGCAGCGGTGAAGAGAGAGCCACAATCAAGCATATTGAAGCACACCGGACCTGTTAAGTGCGTCATACTGTGAGAGCGCAGCATGTGTTGCTGCCACTTTTGTCCCTGGCCCTGTTCCTTTCTCTATCTTTTGCAGCAGCCGCTGCTGCTGCCCCAACTGTACTGATACGCCTCGCGGTCACAGAGCGACATGCTGCATTCCCGCCAACTTGTAAGCACCCTAATACACCTGGGGTTCAGCTTACGGCGACGCACATGGGGGCGTCGAAAAAGCTGGTGACCATGGGGATGAGAGCAGGCGGCGTGCGGGAGATGTGTCCCCCGCTGTGTTGGGCAGAAACAGCATGAAGCGAGCGGATCGCCTCGCGGCTGTTGTGAGATGAAACGGCTCTGGATGCGGATTTGGCAAGGTGCACCGCCCGCAAGTCAACGCTTGATGTTCAGGCTTCCAAAGAGCTTCAACAAGGCAATGCGGATCCCAGACCACAGCAGGTCCGTATTCCTGTAAGCCATCAAACCTGAGGATTTCTTCGAAATGAAGGCCCCAAGACCAATCAAGGTCCCACATCGATGTAGATCAGTCTGAGCAGGCCGACTGGAACAATGGAGCAGCTCAGATTGGAGAACACTCACTTGAAGGCGCTGCTCACCAAGCTGAAGGAGGTCGATGCGGAAGAGATCGACAGGCAAGCATGACCGGCCGCACCGTGCGCCGGGTTCAAGTGACGCCATGAAGGCAGAGTATGTACATGCGCCAGTCGATTGAGGGTCGTTGCTGTGGTTCCAGCAGCAATTGCACTTGTGCATCAACACCCGTGCGCTGCATGCACTGCTATTCCCACATGTTGCCGCACTGCATGCAGGCTGTGGCAGCTTGTTGTACACAAGGAGCAGCTGATTGTGGACTTGGAGAGCCGCCTGGCACGCAGCGAGGCGCAGCTCGGCGAGAATACAGCGCAACTTCTGCGCAGCACAGCAGATTTGGCAGAGGCGCGCGGTCAGCTGAGCGATTGTAGCAGACAGCTGGCCGAGCGCGATTCACAGCTGAGGGAGTCCAGTGCGCTGCTGGACGAGGCGCGACGTGCACTAGCACATGCTAAGGGTTCGGCGCAGGCACTTGTGAGTGTCAAGGACGCCACGGCCACGTCAGCGAAGGCAGCCGGCACGCCGCAAGGGAGCAAACAAATTGAGCAGCAGCGTCAGCAGCAGCACCACCTCCAGCCATTCACAACGGCGGCGAGCAAGCCAGCAAATGCATCTGCAGCGACAGCAACCGAACATGCGCAGCGGCAGGAGCAGCATCGGCCAGCTGCAGAGGCAGCTGAGCGGAGGTCGCCGGTGGTGGTCGAGCCAGCCCAGAAGCAAGCAGCGGGAACGGCTGAGCTTGCACATGAGGCACTCATGGAAGCATCCAAGGTAGCACAGCAGCAGCAGCAGCAGCAGCAGCAGCAGCAGCAGCAGCAGCAGCAGCAGCAGCAGCAGCAGCAGCAGCAGCAGCTGCAGAAGCATCAGCCTCAGCAGGCAGCGGCGGTCAAGGCAACCCAGAAGATGCTTGTGGCAGCGGCCACACCAGCACACCAGCAGCAGGCGACAGCGGCGGGCAAGAAATCACCTTTGAAGCCAATCGCCGTGGCCAAGCCTACACAGCAGCAGGCTGTGGTGGGTAAGCCAATGGTGCACGCAGCGCCATCAGCTGCCAAGCTTCCACGGCAGCAGCAGCTGCATGTTCAGCAGGCCGATAAGCCACCACAACAGCAAGCGGGGCCTTCAAAGCCAACAGGGCAGCAGCCACAGCAGGCAGCGGCCATGCCAGCGCAGCAGCAGCCCGGCACGGTGGCCAAGCCAGCACAGCAACAGCCCGTGGCGGCGGCCAAGCCAGCACAGCAGCAGCCCATGGCATCGGCCAAGCCCGCGCAGCAGCAACCCGTAGCGGCGGCCATGCCAGCACAGCACCCAACCGTGGCGGCGGCCAAGCCAGCACAGCAGCAGCCTGTGGCGGCTGCCAAGCCGGCACAGCAGCAGCCTGTGGCGGCAGCCAAGCCAGCACAGCAGCAGCCCATGGCAGCGGCAAAGCCAGCGCAGCAACCACCCGTGGCGGCAGCCAAGCCAGCACAGCCTCGCCCCGCAGCGGCGGCCAAGCCAGCACAGCAACAGCCCGTGGCGGCGGCCAAGCCAGCACAGCAGCAGCCCGTGGCATCGGCCAAGCCCGCGCAGCAGCAACCCGTAGCGGCGGCCAAGCCAGCACAGCACCCAACCGTCGCGGCGGCCAAGCCAGCACAACAGCAGCCCACGGCGGCGGCCAAGCCAGCACAGCACCCGACCGTAGCGGCGGCCAAGCCAGCACAGCAGCAGCCCATGGCAGCGGCAAAGCCAGCACAGCAACCACCCGTGGCGGGGGCCAAGCCAGCGCAGCAGCAGCCCGTGGCAGCGGCAAAGCCAGCGCAGCAGCAGCCCGTCGTGGCGGCCAAGCCAGCACAGCAGCAGCCCGTGGCAGCGGCCAAGCCAGCACAGCAGCAGCCCGTGGCGGCGGTCAAGCCAGCACAGCAGCAGCCCGTGGCGGCGGCCAAGCCAGCTGTGACGCAGGCTTTGCAGGCTCAGCAGCCGCAGGGCATGCGGGTGGCATCACCCCAGCGAGCGCAGCAGCAGTCGCAGCAGCCTCTGCAGCGATGCGGACCATCGGGCGTGGAGGTGCAGCCTGGCGACTCTAGCGGTGGCTTGCGGTTCACGGTCAAGAGCGTCTCAAAGCCTAACGTTGTGCGGATTCCCCACCTGACGGCTGGCAATGCGGTAGGGCAGCAGCAGCAGCAGCAGCAGCAGCAGCAGCAGCAGCAGCAGCAGCAGCAGCAGCAGCAGAAGCAGCAGCAGCTGAAGCAGCAGCAGCAGCAGCAGCAGCAGCAGCAGCAGCAGCAGCAGCAGCAGCAGCAGCAGCAGCAGCAGCAGCAGCAGCAGCAGCGTTCGCAGCAACAGCAGCAGCAGCAGCAGCAGCAGCAGCAGCAGCAGCAGCAGCAGCAGCAGCAGCAACAGCAGCAGCAGCAGCAGCAGCGTACGCACCAGCAACGTACGCAGCAGCAACTGAAGCAACAGCAGCAGCTGCAGCCGCAGCCGCAGCCACAGCCGCAGACGCAGCGACAGCCGCAGACGCAGACGCAGCATCAGCATCAGCAGCTGCAGCAGCTGAGGCAGCAGCAGCAGCAGCAGCAGCAGCAGCAGCAGCAGCAGCAGCAGCAGCAGCAGCAGCAGCAGCAGCAGCAGCAGCAGCGGCAACTGGACTCCAGCGACCGCACACGCAAACGCAAGCAGTCCCCTTGGGATGTTCAGCCTGCCGCAGCCAAGGTGCAGGAACAACCCCTGATTGCCTCGGCCAGTGTGGCCCCTGTGAGCGTTCTTGGGGCAGCGGGTTCCATGCAACTTCAGCTCCCCCCAGGCTTCCAGCCCGGGCAGCAGCTGCATAAGCCATCATCACAGCCGCAGCAACAGCAGCAGCAGCAACAACAGCAGCAGCGGCAGCAGCAGCAGCAGGGGCAGGAAAGGGCAATTGATATTGATGATGGCGGCAGCGCACAGTTGTGGAAACGGCAGGTGACCACATGGCCAACGCAGGATCCTTCAAACGTTCAGGCGGCGACCAGCGTCTCAGCAGCGTTGTCGCCTGTCAAACCCTACAGCGACACGCGGGCGTTGTTGCCCCCGGGCTTTCAGAGTGTGGTGCAGCAGCGGGAGCAGCAGCAGCAGAAGCAGCGGCAGCAGGAGCAGCAGAGGCCACCTGCCCCGCTGCCCGGCCCGGCGCCCCCCACGGCCGTGTCATCCAGCTCTTACGCGCCACCGGCACTGCCTAACCTGACCAGCGTGGCGCCCTGGCTAGCTGCCCCTGCGCCCGCTCTCGCAGCACCAATTACTGCACCACAAGCGTCGTTAGTTGGGGCGCAGCAGCAGCAGCAGCAGCAGCAGCAGCAGCAGCAGCAGCAGCAGCAGGTGCCCGCGCCAAGCCTCAACCCCCTGGCTGCCCTCTTGTCGCAGATACAGCAGCATGCGCCCATGACCCAGCAGCCGCAGGCGCGGCCGCTGGCACCGGCGCAGCCGCCACTGCCAGATGACCGGGTCATCCATGGCCGCTTGAAGCGCAGCTGAGTGTGACCTTCCAGATCGAGCAGCCACACCCGAGATTGGTGTTTTGCGCAGCTGCACATATTGCTTACCCTTGGCACTACCATATGCACCTGTACGAGTGCATTGACGCCTTCACGCAATTAAAGGCAACGAGGGGGCAATGGTCATGGCAGCATTGCTGGCAAGCATCACCAGAATGAGTTGTTCGTGAGTAACCTTGCTGATTTGACCAGTAAGATGGGGGTTTTTAGAGCCTGGTAGTGACTAGCTCGTGGTATGGTTGCTGCCGTCGCAGTGACCGGCCACTGCTTTGATTTGCTGCACTTACTGCTAGTACACCTGTGTATCGCACTGCCCAGGGTGCTGTCTGGCGATCTGAGGTTGAGCGGCTGGCAAACAGATACAATCAATTGACAGCAGCAGGTCAGCATGCACTGCTTTTTCGGCTCAGGGCAGGTGCAGTCGCCAGCCATGCTGCATCTGCTGAGCTTCAGCGGTGGCGGCGCACACTTTGCGGTTATTTTTCGAATCTGCGGGAGAGAGGGCGGGTCCATGACCTGTGTAGCCTGCCACAAAGGCTTGCTCAGCATGGCCTCCGGCAATAAGTGGGCCATCAGCTCTGCGGGGTGGTTGCTCGCACTGCAGAGCCGCAGCACTGCGCACGCCTCGGGTTGACACCGGAGGCGCCGCCTCACAGGCACCAGAAATTCTGTAGAAGGTGGCAGCTAGAAGGAGATCAAGGCAACCGGTAGCAATTAATGCGACCATATGCCGGGGCGTGACAATTGCGCGTGTCAGCATTTGGCGTTGGGGCTGGCGGCACGCTGCTGTCCTGCTAGGGCAATCGGACGCGGTGTTTGTTTGACACAACAACCAAATGACCAGAGTGGTATCCATACAGGATGGGCCCGCACGAGAGCGGCAAGGACGGTGATGGTGGGAGCGGGTGACAGGCCAGGAGGTTACGAAGTGCACTCGAGTGTGACACGGACAGCACCCGGCGGCATTCATGCGTAACATATCAATTTTGGATTGATTACTCGTTACACGTCGTGCTCAGAGGCACACTCGCTCTCTGACAATGGCCTCGAGATCAAATTTTGTAGACCTGATCTATCCTAGAAGTGGCAGCCATTGAAAATTTTGAAATCTATTGGTTGTTTGGGGATCAGCCGGAGCTGCGTATGCGACCGGATTTTTGGATCAGGGACTCAAACTATCGCCTCACACGATGCAGCAGCAGCTGAGCCGCATCACCAACCTCCAGGATGTGAATCGTATTCTTCATGACGTGATGGCCAAAGAGCGGGCCTGCGACGCTGAACTGGTGCGGTTGCTGATGTGCGCACGCCGCATTGCTGCTGTGAAATGTGTGCGAGTGTGTGCGTGTGTGTTTGGGTGGGGGGGGTGAGACTTTGGCTAGAGCTGCTCGGCACCTCGGCGATCGGTCCGTGAAGCATGTGAAGCAAATGCTGCATTACACAGGACAAGCTGCTTTGCAAGCGCGGGGAGCTGGAGCGCAGCATCCTGATGCTCAACGCCACCACGTCAGAGGTGGGGGGTTGACGGCATGTTTGAAGCCCCTCGTGCGCCTCGCCGGCCCCTCGTCGCCGCTGGAATGACCGGCTCTGGCGGCGGCCTTGGTGTTGCGTGCTGTGAGCCTGTTTTCTGCTGTATCGTGCCAGCGGCACGGCCAATTGCTGGCTGTCAGCACCTTCGGCTCCGACAAGCAGCTGCACGGCGCAACGCCACCGCACCCGCGGCGCCCCTCCCCCCCCCCCC